CTACTGCTAATGTAGGAGTCAACCAACAGCCATATGTATTCTATCATAAATGCAGAAACCAGTGGTCAAAACTGGGTAGTAAGAAATGATTTACCCAGGGTGCCCAAACAACATAAAATTCAAAATTTACCATGGTTCAGGTGATAGATCTCATCATTTCTTTTAGAGTCCTCTTTTCCCATCATCTTTTTTTTTGTAATTTCAATGCATGTATACACTCTAAACCAATATACAGGAGGCTTTGCATGCCATAACATGTGTCACAGAGATTTTCTAGCACTTGACTTTCTTTATCATCAGTAAAGTTTTCTAACACCGGGCCAGAATTTACAGTTGCATTACACAATCAGAAGTATGCAGGGTGAAAGGACAAGCACTACGATGTAATCTGTAAGTCGATTGATTGCAGAGAAGACCTTTGTCAAAGTGAAGGAAAGAGACAAAGCAGCAAGAATGCTAATGATGAAGTCTCACAAAAAAAGGTTTGCAGGACTGACCTGCACCCCCAATGCCAATTAATGTTCCTACGCAAAGAGCTCTTTAGTTTGTCTTGTACAAAATATGATTCATATTACCAGACACAGTAATTGTAATAACTGGCCAGGCCATGGCATCGCATATCTTTTTATATCAAGGCACACTAAAGTTTCTTAGGCTGTGTACTAATGGAGAAGGTATAAAACAGGTGCAGTTTTAGATCATTCCTCATAATACTTATGTATACAATCAGGTCTGGGCTGTCTGTTTAGTCTGTTCAGATGGCTATACAGTGTACTGTAGCAGATGCTGCAGTAGGAGTCCAACTTATTTGGAAGAGTGAGCAACAAAGCCAAGGCTTCCTCGATTACCTGTGTGCATTTAACCAATTGGCTCCAAACACACTTTTCTACCACTCTCATTGAGAAACACCTGTTTCAATATACTAATATACGAGTCAATAACTCCTATACCCACAATCATGTAGGATATAAAAAAATAATCCAAACACTTTATAAAAACTAAAGGAAGTAAAGAATTACATGTCCAATTTTTACAGAGCGCACATAAGCTTCAGTATGTCCTTTTTCCTACACTAAATTGTAACGACAAAAAGTAAACAGTGGGCCTTTGGCATGGTGGGATAAACCAGGTAATGTCTGCTTTTTAAGTGATGCTGTAGTCTGTGTAGTTTATAATTTTTTCTACTTTAAATATAATCAAATTTTTCTTCTAAAGACCCAGCCTGAAGCAAAGACTCCAGGAGCAGACCAAGTCCCTGTTTGGAACAAAGACTAGCCTTGTGCAAACACCCCGGCCTGGAACAAGGACATTGGGGGCAGATGAAGCCTGGAGCAAAGACCCTGTTACGAACAAAGAACAGCCTTTTGCAAACACCCCAGCCTGGAACAAGGACACTGGGGGCAGACCAAGCCTGGGGCAAAGATCCTGCTGGGAACGAAAACGAGCTCTGTGGAAACAGCCCAGCCTGGAAAAGAAAAAAAAAAAAAAAAAACGGGCAGATCCAGCATGGGGCGAAGACCCTGTTTGGAACAAAGACCAGCCCTGTGCAAACACCCCGGCCTGGAACAAGGACATTGGGGGCAGATGAAGCCTGGGGCAAAGACCCTGTTACGAACAAAGAACAGCCTTTTGCAAACACCCCAGCCTGGAACAAGGACACTGGGGGCAGACCAAGCCTGGGGCAAAGATCCTGCTAGGAACCAAAACCAGCTCCGTGCAAACAGCTCAGCCTGGAAAAAAAACACGGGCAGACCCAGCATCGGGCAAAGACCCTGTTTGGAACAAAGACCAGCCCTGTGCAAACACCACAGCCAGGAACAAGGACATTGGGGCAGACCCAATCTGGGACAAAGACCCTGTTGGGAACAAAATCCAGCGCTATGCTAACAGCCCAGCCTGGAACAAAAACACTGGGGCAGACCCAGCATGGAGCAAAGACCCTGTTGGGAACAAAGACCAGCCCTGTGCAAACACCACAGCCTGGAACAAGGACATTGGGGCAGACCCAACCTGAGGCAAAGAGCACGTCTAGAACAAACCCCAGCCTGGTGCAACCTGGAACAAAGACTTTAGGCAGACCCAGTCCAGAACAATACCCCAGCGTGGACCAAGCCTAGAGAAGGGACCATGGGAAGACCCAATTTAAAGAAGACCCTACAGTATAAAGAACACTTTGGGCTTACCCAACTTTGAAAGACCCTGGGGCATACATAGAACTTTCCAGAGGGCTACTTGCCACATGGTCTCAAAAGCCTAGTTTCTCAGCTTGATTACTTCGCTTGCTGTGCCCAGTACCCCCACTAGGGTCAAGTTATTGTAAAACGAGGAGGTGATGCTTAACAGGTGTCCCTGCACAAGCTCGGTGTTAACATGTTCTCTTTAATATGAACATTCGTAACAAAAATAGAGATCGAACATCTTGTAATGTGTCATAAGCCAAAAGTAAGATCTTTACCAAAATGGCAAGCATATTCTCAGTGAGTTATACTGAGAAGCAAATGGGGGGGGGGGGTTTGTTTTAAGCCAACTAGGAGCATAGCAACATTTCAGCTTTCAGTGGACCTGGTGTGTCAACCCCCAGGCTATTCTTTTAGTAGTATCTGTCAAACAAGGGATAACCTTTGAATGGACTTGGGAAGCGAGCATGTAAACATCAACCTTTCCTTGCAACACAAGTACAATAAGTCACTGTGGTTACCTCATCTTGTCTGCAGTGAGACATCTTCCCCCTCTTCTGAATCTGCTCTTTGTGCTTCAATTCCTTGTAGCTGGAACAAAGGAGAAAAAGAACATGTTTTCCGATGAAATACAACGAGCAGGTACAGACATCCAATTTAATTGCTTCTCATCCAGCAGAGTTCTGTCAGTACACAGACTTTTAATCTAATTAAACTGCGAACTAAGTAGATAGAGTATAAATATCTCATTATGCCTTGAAATCGTCCAAAACACTGAAAGTTTTATTAAAGATAATTAAAGCAGACCTGTCACTGGAAGACATAAATGTAGTTAAAAGTGGAATAAAGGTTTGACCCTTTTTTTTTTTTTAACAATTATATCAGGCCTCATGCACACTGGACATTTTTTAACACTGCTTCTAGGGCATCTGCCTTGTTTTTTTCTGCCTCTAAAACATTGTTGTGTATGCCTATGGAGTGGATTTACTAAAACTGCGGCGTGTAAAATATGGTGCAGCTCTTTAAAAGAAATCAATTAGCTTCAAGGATTTTTTTTTTTTGTCAAAACCTAATTAAACAAGCTGCACCAGATGTTGCACTCTCCAGTTTTTGTAAATCAACCCCTATATGTCCATGCACACATTTTAGAGTTTAGAGGCAGAAATCCCACTGCCAGCGCATCCAGGAGCAGCGGCATTTTGGCAGAAAAATGCTCGATGTGTGCAACATGCGTTAACACTAGGCATATCAAGCGCTTGAGTGTCAATTCATTTCAATGGCCAGAATTACTCTGGCCATTGAAATGAATTAACGCCAAAGCGCTCGACCTACCTAAACACGTGTAACGCATTTACAAGTGTCAACGTCCATGCCAGGAGGAAAGGCATCTCAGACAGCTGGGCATGAGGCCTTAAGCTTGGAATTTAGTTTTGACAAAGATAAATGATGTACTTGGACTCTCCAAAAATGACCCCTTTCCATGACCTAGGTGTATGGCCATATTTGTATATCTAATAGGCTCAGGATGTAGATGGGACCTTATTCTTCTGCCCAAGTTCAAATTAATTTCTGAAGCTGCCAGCGTTAAGCCAAACAAAACCTATCCCACATGTTGTCCACATGCTCCTCACTGTCCTGCGCCACATTCCAATCACACACACTGCATATTGAACAATGTCAATGTCCTCCCATAGACCTTGCACACTAAGCTCTGACACACTCTTGCATGTTACACCCTCAATGGCCAGTTGCCAATATGTGCATTAACCCCTTGAACTCCTCAGCATCCAGTCTCCAGCATATGTGTAAATACTCTTCAATGCCCAGTCCTCAGGGAATATGCGTAAACCCCTTTGTATCCAGTCTCCAGCAGATATGCAAGAATCCCTTATATTTATTGTATGCACCATGTCAAATATCAGTTTCATTTCCATTGCCACTGGTCCTATACAGGGGCGGACTGACAACTCAAGGGGCCCCTGGGCAATAGGGGATCATGGGGCCCGTGTCCTTGCCCAAACTAAAAAAGCCTATGAAAAAAGGTACCAGGGGCATCTTAAGGGGCCCCCTACTGACCCCGGGCCCTCGGGCAGTGCCAGAGTTTCCAAATGGTCAGTCCACCCCCCTGGTCCTATAGTCACTACCATTTCCTACTTAAACGTTCTTTCGCATGTTCCTGGATTGCATGACACTGTTCTCTTTCTAATGTTATGCTTCAATGTTGGGGTCTCCATTGTCACCTCCATTATTCCCAATTCCATTTAAACATCCCTTCTGTTTAAATGTCAGTGTGTTGCCAATTGTGGAAAGATCAGGATCAGCAACCACCGTTTGCAAGTTAGAGTTTGTTGTACTGCCCACCTCTCCTGCTCAAACTGCCCCCGGATATACCCTCTGCATTCGTCTCCTGCGCATACTGCATCCTGCCATACCCTCTGCACTTCTCTCCTGCACAACCTCTCAGCATCAAGTCCTCAGCAGGTGCTTTACCTCCTCTGTACCCAGTTTCCAGAGTATATGAACTGACCAATAATTTATTTGATTTCATTGCCAATTATGACAAGATCAATAACCATTTGTGAGTCAAAGGCTTAACAGTACTGCTCACCATCATACAGTGCGCACTGCTCTCCACCACACATGCTACCTGCCATCATACCATTTGCAAGCCTATCCTGCACAACCCTTTGGCACCCAGTTCCCAGGCAGGTGCTTTAATTACTCAACACCTAGTCTACATTTATGAACAGTTCTTGTTAATAACTCTGCAGTCCCCTCCCGCACATACTGCCTACTGTTATACCCTCCGGGTCGTCTCTCCTGCACCTACTGCCCACTGTGATATACTCCCTACTACTCTACTAAAATACACTATATTACTAAAGGTATTGGGACGCCCCTCCAAATCATTGGATTCAGGTGTGCCAATAACCTCCATGGGTCGCTCTCAGTAGCTCAGTGAGTTCAAACGTGGTACTGTGATAGGTTGCCACCCGTGCAATAAGTCCATCCATGAAATATCCTTGCTACTAAATATTCCACAGTCAACTGCTACAAGTGGTATTATAACAAAGTGGAAGCAACCGATTACAACAGAAGGTATGACTATGTGGCCAGGAAGCGGTAGGCCATGTAAAATAACAGAGCGGATTCAGCGCATGCTGAAGCACACAGTTTGTAGAAGTCGCCAACTGTCTGCAGAGTCAATAGCACAACAACAGTGACCTTCATTGAATGGGTTTCCATGGCCAAGCAGCTGTATCCAAGCCTTACATCACCAAGTTCAATGCAAAGCATTAGATGCAGTGGTGTAAAGCACACCACCAATGGACTCTAGAGCAGTGGAGACGTGTTCTCTGGAGTGACGAATCATGCTTCTCTGTCTGGCAATCTGATGGATGTGTCTGGGTTTGACGGTTGCCAGAACGGTTCTTGCCTGACTGCACTGTGCCAAGTGTAAAGTTGGGGGGATTGTGGTGTGGGGTTGCTTGTCAGGGGTTGGGCTTGGCCCCTTAGTTCCAGTAAAGGGAACTCTTAAGGCATCAGCATTCAAGACATTTTGGACAATTTCATGCTCCCAACTTAGTGGGAAGAGTTTGGGGATGGCCCCTTACTGTTCCAACATGACTGCGCACCAGTGCACAAAGCAGGGTCCATAAAGACATAGATGAGCAAGTTTGGGGTGGAGGAACTTGACTGGCCTGTACAGAATCTTGACCTCAGCGAGCTAGGCCTTCTCATCCAACATCAGTGCCTGACCTCGCAAATGAACTGCTGGAAGAATGGTCAAACATTCCCATAGACACACTCCTAAACCTTCCCAGAAGTGTTGAAGCTGTTATATCTGCAAAGGGCGGGCCAACTCAATATTGAACCCTATGGACTAAGATTGGGATGCCATTAAAGTTCATGTGCGTGTAAAGGCAGGCGTCCCAATACTTTTGGCAATATAGTGTACCTCTCTCTTTCATATCTTCCACATGTACCTTCTGCACACCCCCACAGCACCCAGTCCCCAGTAGGTACATTAACACCTCAGCACCTAGTCTTCAGATTAAAAAAATTCCCTGCTAACCCCTCACTCCTGAACTTACTGCATTCTGTTATACCCTCTGCACCCCTCTCCTTGCCATTACTATCAAACATCCTGACTCCTCTCCTACATCTCCCCTACACAGTCCATACTTCTCTTTTGCACATACCTACCCCCTCACATACCTTCCATAATCTTCTCCTGCAAATACCGCCCTCTCATATACCTTCCCCACTTCCTTCCTGTACATACTGCCCACAGTCATACCCTCCGCATTCCTTTCCTGTACATACTGCCCACAGTCATACCCTCCGCATTCCCCTCCTGCACATACTGCCCACAGTCATACCCTCTGCACTCCTCTCCTGCACATACTGCCCACAGTCATACCCGCTGCAATCCTCTCCTGTACATACTGCCCAGAGTCATACCCTCCGCACTCCTCTACTGTACATACTGCCCACAGTCATACCCTCTACACTCCTCTACTGTACATACTGCCCACAGTCATACCCTCTACACTCCTCTCCTGCACATACTGCCCACAGTCATACCCTTCGCATTCCTCTCCTGCACATACTGCCCACAGTCATACCCGCTGCAATCCTCTCCTGTACATACTGCCCACAGTCATACCCTCCGCACTCCTCTACTGTACATACGGCCCACAGTCATACCCTCCGCACTCCTCTACTGTACATACTGCCCACAGTCATACCCTCTGCACTCCTCTCCTGCACATACTGCCCACAGTCATACCCTTCGCATTCCTCTTCTGCACATACTGCCCACAGTCATACCCGCTGCAATCCTCTCCTGTACATACTGCCCAGTCATACCTTCCGCATTCCTCTCCTGCACATACTGCCCACAGTCATACCCTCTGCAATCCTCTCCTGTACATACTGCCCACAGTCATACCCTTCGCATTCCTCTTCTGCACATACTGCCCACAGTCATACCCGCTGCAATCCTCTCCTGTACATACTGCCCAGTCATACCTTCCGCATTCCTCTACTGCACATACTGCCCACAGTCATACCCTCTGCAATCCTCTCCTGTACATACTGCCCACAGTCATACCCTCTACACTCCTCTCCTGTACATACTGCCCACAGTCATACCCTCTGCACTCCTCTCCTGCAGATACTGCCCACAGTCATACCATCTGCACTCCTCTCCTGTACATACTGCCCACAGTCATACCCTCTGCACTCCTCTACTGTACATACTGCCCACAGTCATACCCTCTGCAATCCTCTCCTGTACATACTGCCCACAGTCATACCCTCTGCACTCCTCTCCTGCAGATACTGCCCACAGTCATACCCTCTGCACTCATCTCCTGTACATACTGCCCACAGTCATACCCTCTGCACTCCTCTCCTGCACTTACTGCCCACAGTCATACCCTCTGCACTCCTCTCCTGTACATACTGCCCACAGTCATACCCTCTGCACTCCTCTCCTGCACTTACTGCCCACAGTCATACCCTCTGCACTCCTCTCCTGCACTTACTGCCCACAGTCATACCCTCTGCACTCCTCTACTGTACTTACTGCCCAAAAAAGACACTTCTTTAGCATTGTTCGCAATGTCCTCAACAGGTAATCTTGCTAGTCTAACATACCTGATAGTATTATTAAAGTCTGTCTAATTGTGTTTTCTATCTTGACCACTGGCTACACCACTTGGTAACTTTATTGGCTAACATAGCTATTACGGGGTTGAAACTGCATTGAGTGTTTTGCCAGTGCTCTGGCCATGGGATTCAGGGTAACTAGAAAGTACTAGTGTTAGTCAATCCTGGGAAATTCCTACCCGATCTCATGCACACAAAAGCTCCCTCTTTTAGGCCTTTCTAGCATCAAAGATAAGCCTACAACTCTATCCAGTTTGACCAAACGATATCCTCTATATTGCTAGTTGTCCTTTAACAGGACCAGAGGAAAGCGTCCATTAAAAATGTAAAGGTAACATGTTCGGAGGCTCAATGTGACCAAACTGCAGATTCTTTGCTTTGCTAAAAATTTACATTTTTTAATCCTTGACTTTTGTGTGGTTCTGGGAAGCGCTGGGTATCAAAACCACACCATATAGAGAGCCTTGATTCCGGCTAACCCCATACACATTGGTACTAAGCAACTATGCCCCCTACCAATTAATAGTGCTATGGGAGAGCCTAATTGGTAAATAAAGGCTCTCACAATGGACTGCTGATTAACATGTGCATGGCTTGGTTCCAAGCCAGGAGTCATGATCCTACATTTAGCACTAAGGCCACGTATTAAGAGCTTGGGTCCAAAGACATCTGGCTGAGGATTACCCAATGCACATTAACTCGAGCCAAGGTACCTGCAGTTTGACATCGTTGTTAGTTTGCGGCTTCTGCCAGGTCCACTTTAACGTGATCTCTGAGACATTTTCAGACAGTTTGAAGGTGCAAGTTTCTAAACAGCGAATTGTAAAGTGATGCTTATTCAACCATGCTGTCAGAGTACATTATTATCTAACTACACGGGTCAGGAATAATGTCACAGACACTACTGGAAATGATCTGCACAAGTCAAACAACTGATTTATTGAGCAACGCGCAGTACACCATAGCCACCGATCATCAATTACAGATTGTTGTTCTGACAACTAATTAAAAGGTGAAGTCTGATTTGTTGCCTGGGTCACTGCACCCTACTCTTCGCCTTAGTAAGAAAGCTCAGCTAGAAGAACCATGGGTATCTGCATTCCTCATAACAAGCAAAGGTTTACTGTAATTATCTCCAGAAAAACTACTATTGCTCACAAGGGCAAAACTAGAAAACCTAATTTGCTCACAGCTTGATGTTTTATCAGAAAAAACCCCCAAAATGATGCTGAAAGTTTGTCTTCCCATTGTTTGGACTGTAAATCCAAAAGCAGAATTCATGTTGCATTGCCTTGATTGACCTAAACTAATCAAGTTTGAAAGGTGATTGATTAGCAGTGAGCTATAGCACGTCATCATTGCCCTCAGTTGCACTTATCCTACTTCACATATAGATATGTGTGTGCTGTTATTCATTTGTATTCTCTTCCTGTCAGAGTAGAAATGTCATCCCAGTGTCATGGTAAAGGCTGACCTGTCTCCCAACTTTTGCTAAGGGGTGGTAATTGGAACACTCCTGACTGAGGAATATAAAACTACTAACAAAACCTTTAGTTTTTTTAATGTAAACCTGGCAGCACCTACAAGGTTAGTAAATCGACCGATCGGTCATCCGATGACCGAGAGGCGTTCATTCGTTGGTTGAAATCGTGGCCCACATTAACCAACCTAAAAAAATTGTTTGTTGGGCAATACGCAGTGTTGACGTCTTCCGTACAAGTTGAAGTGATGCGGCGTGCATGTGACCTTGTAGCCACGCCCTTCCAGCCAGAAAGAGCGATATACACAACAATTACCAGCAATGAGTATAATACCATTTATCACATGACCTATATACATAAATAGTGATACATAAAATTTGCAGAATTCTGGTTTCATTATCTCATTAGGCCAATCTACTTTTAACATTTGGATTTTTCGTTCGTGTTTATGAAGATTCCTTGGACATAAACATCCGGGTCATCTTCTGTTTCCGCTCATGCATGATAGCACTTGATAGATTTTTTTCGTACGACAATCATACCACCACATAGAAAATCGGTCGTTCATATGCTAAACGACAACATTTTTCACTGTTGTTCAACCAGATTTTTCCATTCACAATAACGTTATCGGTTAAAACATTCTGCTCATCAACAAAAAGAAAATCGTTCGATCAGTGGTTCCGCAAAATTTTCTTATCGTGTGTGCAGGGCATTACTCTATCCTCCAAGCCCTCTCTTCTATGACCGAATCATTGGGCAAAGCTGTGTGCTAGTTAGCAGTAGGCTGCTTCGGATACCTTCTGCTGCCCCCAGCCCACATATTTCTTTCATAAGTTTCCTTTTGAAGTTTAAAATGACTGCCAGGTTCACTTTAAATCAGATTTCATCAAATCATTTTTGCAAATGATTATGGAAGCCATACCTGAATGTAGTCCTGTGAGTTCTGATATCGAGCCACATCTAGGTTTATCGGGCTTTGATCTAGCTCCACTGCTCTCCGGAGGTCGTCATGTGCCTGAAGTTCGGTTTTGGCTTCAGAGAGCTCATTTTCAATTTTCTGCAGTACCAAACAACACAGGAGACAGTGACTAACTTGTACATTTGTCAAACCCTCACTTTCAAGACTACCGATTTAGCTAAAAGTAGTTAGCCACAATCAGCAGGACTTGTTCTAAAA